ATAAGGCGGATTGACTGATCCGCGCACAGAGCAAATCACTTTGGCGACACTTTGGTGAATAAGCTCAGGCCACCTTCAAGACGAAGGCCGCGTGCTTAAATTCAGAGTTACCGATTGGTTTCGGAGCGCGTGCACTCCAGTTATGACTGCGCAGGCTGGAAGGATTGCAATCTTGGGATCACAAGTCCCGTCACGAGGAAGGCCGGGCATGTGCTGAAGGGTCGCGCGGTAATGTTAGCCACACAACGGATGCGGGCCGTGTACTCACCAGAAAGTGGGTACGGAAGCCGTGTTGAGTCTCTGCCTTTGATGATTCGGCCGCCAGTACTGTGGCCGAGCCTATCGCAAACAATCCAAAGGCAGAGAAACAAGGAACAGAAGTCACAACCACTTTGCCTGATCGCAGGATTCGCCATGGCTGTCTTTCACCGAAAACTATCTGGTGGCACCATGGTTTGCCTTCGCGAAGGCCTTTTACAGAAGCTATATGCAAGGCCCAACCCGGGGACACCAAGATTCTGGCCGCCATTGATTCCTACGAGCATCCAACCTTCACGCCCAAAGAGGCCGGACCTTTTCGAACTGACGACAGCTCAGCCATACAAAACACTGCCAGGACTCCGACCTCAGCATCACTTCACATGATCTAGGCTATATAAGCACACAGCGACCGTAGAACTAGAAGACTGTCCACGAGGATCTTAGGACACTTTCTTTCTTCGCCATAACGACTTGTTCAATTACCAGCATGTCGGCCCACCCACGTCTCTCTCGGGGCGGCCGGGGCCACGGTTGCAATCTCGGAGGGCTCTGGCTCCGCTCGGCGCCGTGGATTGGTAGCCGACCATAATGCCCGTGCGAAGAGCCGGCCTGCAACAACACAATTGCGAGGTCGCGGCGCAACATGTCGGCTAACTCCAGTTGCCCATGTTGCCGTGCTTCTGTCGATCTCGTTTCTCTTAGACAGCCCATGGCGAGTCCTGCGGTCAGGCAAAGTGGTTATGTTATGACTTCTGTTCCTTGTTTCTCTGCCTTTGGATTGTTTACGATATGCTCGGCCACAGTAATGCCGGCATCTCCTGAGTCGGTATTCTTACTTTCGAGAAGTGCTGTGGAAAGCATCGTCCTGGCCTTTGGCAGCGCGACAGTGGCCGAGCGAATCTGCCCCACGCCATAAAAGGCCTAAGTCTGCGGGGTCTTGGCGTAACACTTGGGACTGTTGTTCGGCTATCTAGGGGCCGGGCTCGCTTGTGGATGTCGTTGGATGAGCAGCCCTGGTAGCCATCTCAATGGCGTCCGCGATGACCTCTGCGACAAAAACAAGTTAGACTTATTGACTGGACGGTTAGATAATCTAAGTCTGTGACGATTTCAAGGTAGCACATGGTGTACCTGTCAGACGAGTGGTTTGGTGAATCCATCTAAATCTTCGTGAGGAGTGGCGCCTGGGATTGCAGGGAATAGAGCGCGAGAGCTATTGTTGGCTGACCCACCCCAAAGAGGGTGACATCCACTCCAAGATGTGTAGCTTGGGGCGGGTCGACCCCTTCGAGGTGGGATATGCTTGCACGAGCATCCCCGATCACCAGCCCGAGGGCCGGGCTCCCAACCAGCCCCTGAGCTACGTGTGGCAGTCAGCCAAAGTGCTGGACCACGCCATCAACAAAGTGGTGTACATCGGCTACGAACACCCAAGCGGCCGCGAGCAGTTGCTCACCACCGAAGGGTGGAAGCTATCTTGCAGGCGTACGCCCTCGCCCGGCACCCAAAAAAAGCGCTCATCGCGCCGAAGATCCTCATGGATGAGGATCTGATCAATGAGAAGATCAAGGGTGCTGACATCCCGGACGATGTGGATGCCACGTATATGAAGTCCGCGGATGGCACGTGCACATATGTTTCTTGGAGGGACGTCATGGCCAGCAAGTCTAAGGCTAAGTGAGACAGCTTTCAAGATCTTTCAAGCGTGCAAAAGCCCGGCATGCCAGCGGCGAGGGTCTAGCAACGGTTTCAGCTTTGGTCCTGAGCTTCCTGGTGCCAGAGCTGAGGGACTGGAAGGTTCCACGTTCGCATGCCCGGACCCCCCGTGACCGAAACCCATCGAATGTTTGCAAGCACGAGAAACCGAAACAACTTTTTGGTCGGCTAAGGACTGCCTGGCTCCATGCTCTTCGATGTTTTCTGTATGGCAGGTGCTGCATGTATCTTGACTGTTGTAATTAGTGCCGGCCCTCAGCCCACCTGCAGTGTTGGAGCCTAGGCTACGATCAAAGCAGCGGCGAGTGCCACCATAACCTGAACTGGCAGAGTGCTGCGACTCAAGGCCGTTGTACACGGTTCCTTTTGACCACTTCGATCCCGACCACGAGCATGCTCGAATGGCTCTCTAGTCTAATGCTTGCAGCATCTTGTAGCAGAGCAGGCATCAGCGATGGGACGACGCCGTGCTTCCCGCAGATCTATCCAAGTCGTGTTCCGAGTGAGGCATGGACAAGATTTGCTCGTAACATTTTGTAGGTTCGTGATGCGTGGAAGCGGTTTGAGAGGTTGCTACGAGACTTGCCAAGACGCTCGGATGCATGTCGTGTTTGCTGAGCTTGAGAAGTTCAAACACAGATGACTAAGAAGCAGTTGCGGCGAGCTCTGATGCTTTTGCAGTGTACTTGTGATCTTTCCTCATCCTCAGGCAACTGACCAACCCATATGGCCCCGACATGGTGTTGTCCCGCTGGGTCCTGCACACCATGCCTTGCTTCAAGATGCTCTTGGCTCCAGTTTACCTTGCCTTGGACGCTTGGTACAGCCGCCGTTGAGTTTGACTCGTCATCCGTTTGGAGACCACGGTCTAGATGCACATGACGATGCCAATCGCTGGACACTATAGCGGCGGAACTTCGACAGAAGGGCGGCGCGGCGAATGGCATTCGAAAGTGAACCTTTGACTTGGCACATTTTGGCACTTGGGCAGCGCCGTTTCCAAAATATGCTGCTTAAGACTCGCGTCAGAGGCCAACTTGTCGGCCAAGCTGAACGGCCCTGGACCACGGGCAGCTTAATTGAAATCGGTCCAGACCGAGCCGAACACTTTGAAGATGGTGACACCATGTGACACCGCTGCGTAGTGCCCGCCAAAGCCCGTGGGCTGCGGGGAAGGCCTATCCATTGTCAAATACGTGAGCTGCAGGACCCTGGGGTTTTCCAATGTGAGTTCTTGGCAGGCGCTTGGCTGACACAGCACCGGCCGTGAGGCCGCGAGGGAATGTTCCTGAGATTGGATCCGAGAGGAACGTCCCCAGATCTAACTCACCGGAGGATGAATAGAGCCGACTGTCAAACGACTGAGTCGAATGTGAGTCACTGTGAGGCTGCAGAGGGCAAAGAGCATGCTCTCCTTTGGATCGTTTTTGTTGGCAGGGTTGAAGGTCCGAAGGTCTTTCTTTGGGTTCCTTCTCCAGCGAGCCACTTCATCCTGAGGGGCTCATGCAGCAGAGGGTTAGCGTGCTCGATGTGTCCAATGTTTAGAAGGAGCCGAATGAGTGCTTGGCAAGATGAACAGAGACGGTCGCAGAAATGCAAAAAGGGAATCCAGGGAGCTGCGAGTTCAAAGTACCGGGTGCCTGAGCTTCCGTCCGTCGAATCGTCAGGCCACAGAAGGAAAGCTTTCCGATCCGATGCTGCCCGCACTCAGAATCATCAAGGCATGGGGGTCTTGCGAAGAATGTCGGCGGGTGAACCGCCCAGTTGACCGGATAGGCAGGAAGCGTAGAATGCTAGACTTCAATTCAAAGAGCTGAAGATGCGGGTAGCTGAGTAGTCGACGAAACAATGGTGTTTTGCTTGCAGGATCGCTGGGATTCGCTGAAGCACTTTTCGCTCTATGCGCTCTACTTGGAGTGCCACTCGGAGCTCGAGAGATGGGGGCCATGAACTATCGTGCCGAGACGGCTGCAAAGTTACTGTGCCTCGATGCTGCTTGTACCTTAGGTAGTTCTAGATAGTTCTGTTTCTTGTAATTGATTCAGAAGATCTTGAGGAGCACCGAAGGCAGGAATGCCTCGGGACAGAGGCACTGTCGATGACTCATCACACTGTTACGTCGCCTAGTTTAGCAGCAAAGGCGAGCAAAGGCAGCTTGACTTCGGTGCAGTCCTCAGACAGCTTTGGGGTAGGTGCGACATGGGACGCTTATGGCTGTCTGCTGCTGGCTGATGTAACGGCAAATCACATCCGACATGCTCAGTGCTTTGCTGGCCTTGTGGTAGTAGTCGATGCGAACACCAAACACCCGATCTTGCAAGCTGGCCCCGCGCAGAATCTAAGCCTGATCGCTTCGCTGATTGGCCCGGAGAGTTCAGTCAGGGAGAGTTCAGTCAGAGGTAACAGCGATGACGAGCACTTGGCCTACTTGGTTCGTGCCTCGAACGCTCGTGCCCAAGCTTGCTGGGGACCGTGACGTGAGAGCCAGCTGTTTCCTTGCGAGTCACAAACCGCGGTCATGTGGATGCATGTGGATGTTTTAGCTGCAGTGCCAGGATGAATGTTCCCTGGGAAGAGCTCACAGCCACTCAAAACACTCAGGCTCAGATAGATCAAATCCTGCAGATCGACAAGGACACTCCTCGGTCTATTGGTCACGTTCCGCCAGGCTGCAGTCGTGAGACTGAACCGCAGGACCGGATCATCTCCCACGACTCCATGGTGCCGGGGCTCTGTCGCGCTCCTGAGATGACAGTCTTTGAGAAGGTAGATCCCAACTCATGAGAGGGTTTGTTGCGCCGAGCAGCTCTTCTGTCTGTTTTGCAGGCTTAAAGCCAAGTACTGACATGAGCTCATGATAAGATATGAGAAGTCAATAGAAATCGTGTCTTTCGTTGGCTTATCAATTGAATTCACAAAACTTGGGACGACTGCCATGGCATGGGTTCACTACTGCGGTACCTACCAGAAGCACTCCCAAAGCAGGTCAGGATCCATGAAGGCATGAACAAGCTGATTTCCAGCTGAATGATTTGCTGCTCCATGCCAGCATGTGCGCGTCGGGGGCACGAGCCCCTGCCGCTTCCGTTCTGCGGCTGCTGAGTGACAGCCTCGCTTTCCAGGCCGCTGCAGCTGCTGCTAGCTACTGCCCGAAAGGACACTTCACAAGATTTGATAGTAGCATCTCTCCTGCCCGCTCGCACCTACCAGTGTAGTCCTTGATATGTCACAAAGACGTGCCCCTTCGAGGTACCATGGCCCGCATGATCCAAGTGAAGGGTGACCACCCTCAAGGCTTCCCAACTTGATTCATGACGTTTCCATGACATCAGCTCCGCATATTTCTGTTTGTTTTCGATCAACAGTTCATTTGGGAACTCAGCTGCCGTGGTTTCTGCAACGAGGCATATGCTGGGCCGCTGCTGTTTAGAAGGATCGCTTATGAGTAGCCGCCCAATCCCAATCTAGATAATGTGCGTATATGTATCATGATGTATCTATTTGTGTATGTATAACATGTATATATGCTCATAGGTTTGCACATGTTGTAAGCTCCGTATGGCCTTACACACAAAACCATACATACATATACATAATGTACATACGCATATACAGTACATATACATTTTCATAGTAACATATACGTGTACGTATACAGACGTATACATTACACGAACGTACATACATAACCACATATGCTCATGGATGTACACAGCTGCAGTGGCAATCGCTGGTTGAGAATGTGAAACGGTTACCCGTTTGCCGGGAGCCAAAGGTTTGGCGCTGTGCACGCGGATTTGGCTCATGCGGGGAGCTCGAGCAGTGACTGCATGCTGGATGAAGATGCTCTAGCAGTCACTAGTCTGCTGTAGCAGCAGGTCGTCATCATCTTTTCGTGGAGCTTGCTTTTTCGCAGAGCTGCTTGAGGCAGTCCATGGAGAAAGAGTTCGGAAAAGTGGCACACTGCAAGAAGCCACCGACAACAGGCTGGTATGCAATCTGTTCTTTGCAAACGATTCCCCGGAAAGCTCTCGCACGCCGAGCGTGCTTTGTGTCAATAGACATCGCTGAGTCTGTGCTGATCCGAAGCAGGCGATCCGGAAACGGATGTTGCCTTCGTTCAGTTTCAAAGCCAAGAGGCGCCAGAGGGCAGCATGCAAACAAGTAAAGATGGAAAGATGCAATGCTCGATTTGAATAAAGCTCGAAAGATGTAGGTAATGTAAAGTGCTTTGATCGAAACTGTAAAGTGCCTTGATCGAAACTGCGGGCTTACAACTTGAGGCTTTGTTCATGTTGTCAAGGTCTCGGGCCGAGACTGTTCTACTCGTAGCTACTCCAAAGGCGGGTGCAACAGGCTCCTTGAGTATGTCTAGTCTGGCAGTAGCGATTGAATTTAACGCGGAATCGACGGCTTGGGCTCCCCCCATAAGCCAAAGGGAGAGGTGCCCAGGTGCAGGTCACTGGACATCAGATTGGAAACCGGCTTTTTTATCCTAGCTCCAGACTGCCAACCTTCAGTGACTGAGGACGCAGACAAGGCAGTGGAGGCTCTGCGACAGGGTCTCACGTTGAGCACCACTTGGCAACACGGCTTAGCGATGACTCTTCACAGTACATCCTGTAGCACGTTCAAGCTGTCGCCGCCGTCCCCTTCGTTTTCCGGTGTCATCTCGCCATCGTCGCCACCACCATCGTCCGGGAACTCAATACCTGTGCCAGTGGTTTCCTTGTTTGACATGCCCAGGCAAGGCATCACGCTGAAGATCACAGGCGCCACGTGCCTGCATGACAAACCGAGGGCACTTCGTTTCGCTGTTCCATCAGCATGAAACGGACCTTGAATCACAGAGAGGACCAGAAATCATAGACGATCGATGGCTTGTGCAAGCTAGCAGGCGCGATGTTGGTGGAAGCCCTGCAATTATCAATTCTATTGGTCAGCTTGTTGTCACCCAAGGATTGGAAGCCTGGAGAGGGAGGCCGAGGCGGAAGTAAGCCAGGCTGCCGGGCTGCAATCAGAAATAGGGGTTTAGGGCTTGGGCATCCGGGCGCGAGATATGCAGTTTGAGGGATTCGGGCACCTACTGGGCAGTGTGTTGAGGGCTGTTCTCTGTGGAGTGTCAGGCTTGCTGACAATTTGTGTCTTCTGGAGTGTTCTAGACACAAGCATTTTTCAGTATTCAACAGTGCTGGGCGATAGAGCATGATGACCAGGGCCTCCTCTGGAAGGAGCATCGCATCTCGGTTTCCTTATGACATTAATTGATGTACTCCAACTTCCCCCCTCAGCGCTGCAGCGTCTTCAATTCTTCAATCACAGAATTCGAGCATGTGCCGGTTTTCCTCCAGGTCTTTCCAAGAGTCAGCGAGATGTTTTTGCTTGCAAGTTCCCCGGAGCCGGAGCCGGCAAAAGGGTAAGTGTACTTTGAATAGGGGAAAGCTCAAGGCATGTGCAAAGCTTGTGCAAAGAGCCAGCGCCAGGCTCCAGCTTCGTCAAGTGGCAGCCAGAGACCGTGGATGAGACTCGACCAAACCTGCCCAAATCCAGGGCTTCATGGCATCATGGCATGCCAGGGGACGGAAGGGTTCAGATGGAGGTGGTTCGATGTTGATCTGTTGTTGAGGTTTCCTGGAGATCTGCTCAAAAAATGGTGGGAATTACATCCGACCCGATGACATGACACGAGAGGACTCTCGCAGCTTTCTCAGCAACAACCGTCCCGCTCGAAGTCGCAGCGGTCGCAGGGACGACAGGCCATGCAAGAGCCAACGAATTGCTTGGACATTGTCGCGTCCTGTACCGTTTTGCTCGCCAGGCGAAGTGACAGACGGGAAGACAGAAGGGACGAGCGTCGCGAAGACCGGCGGGGCGACCGCCGAGATGACCGAAGGGACGACCGAGGCTACCGCGACGATCGACGATACGACCGTGATCGCCGGGATGACCGAGATCGCCGAGACGATCGCGATCGTCGAGATGACCGTGATCGAAGAGACGATCGGGACCGCAGGGACGATCGCGATAGACGAGATGACCGTGACTACCGGGATGATCGTGATCGCCGAGATGATCGTGGCTATGGCCGGCAGGATGACCGCAGGGATGACAAAAGATACGATGATCGTGATAGGCGCGATCGAAGGGATTCGCGAAGACGAACTAGTAGCCGTTCCAGAGACGATCGACGTGATGATCGATACAGCGATCGCAGAGATGATCGTGACGATCGCCGTGCCGGCCAGGAAGACCGCAGAGATGGCGGGAGACATGATCGTGACTACGAACGTCGTGAGGATCGGACTGCGCGCCGAGACTAGGAGACTCGGCGAGGAGGGCTTGGTCGCGAAGCGTGAGGCAGGAGTCTCAGGCTTGCTACAAGCGATAGAGTGCTAGACTTGTGCTAGGCATTCCTTCAATCCCGAGATCTGAACTTGCTCAAGCTCGTCTCAGGTCAGTTGAGGATCTCGGGCTTTGGCAAGCAGCGGTGCGGCAGCAGAAGGAGCATAAACCCGAAAGTCTACTCCAAACCAGATTGAACCTTAGAGGCCCTAAATTAAATTGGCATACCAACAGCCCAGCTACCCCGGCTTGGCAGCCTCACTCAACGAGCTCCCTGACCGAAGCTGGACTGGGCAAGCTGTGACGGCTTTGTGGAAAAACTGCACGTGTATCGGCTGGGGAAATCTCCGTCTTGCGCATGGCAGGTCCTTCCCGAGGAAATCTTTGCGTGCGTGTGTGTGTGTGTGTCCTGATTTCGGCAACGGTCCACCCTGATGCTTGCTTGAGTTGAGAGTGGCAAACGAGATGAAAGCCACTTATCCAGGAATGTGCAGCACTGACTGCAGTTGCAGTTGGCACAGACGCCAGTGGCTGATGTCATCAGGTTACGACCTGCTTCGCGAGAATGCGGAGCTGCGCAAGATGACGAATTCGTCATCGGCTCATAGTAATGCGATTTTTGTTTTTGTGTCTCTGTGTGTGTGTGTGTGATTGGGAACTTTCGACAGACGAGTGCTGAGGTACCAGCTGCATGTCCTGATGCTGTACCAGGGGAAGAACATCTCCGATGCCAGCATAGGAGCGTGTGCAAGGGAAGGGGGACTATCCGGCTAGCCACACCTGATCAGTTCGAGAAGAGCATGGGAAGGAGTTAGTAAATGAGAGTCGGTAACTTGTTTGCTGACGGTGTTCTGCTTGCGTGCTGACCTCCCATTCCTCTGGACCAGGCATGTCAACTGATGCGGAAGATACCGGCTCCGAACTCAGTCGATTCGACACTCGGAAGCCTCTTCTTCACGAGACTCGCTTGAGCGAATACTGCCTTGCCCGAGCAAATTGTGATTCAGGTCTTGGTTTGTCTTACTATCCTTCGGCTCCGTTCAACGTAGGCGTCTGTGTGAGCGGACCATAATCAAGGCCTGGCGGCACTCGACGGTGTAATCCTCAGAGCTGCAAGTTGGTAGTACGCCTGCTGTGTTGAAGCCCTCCGGATTTTTCTGGCGACTTAGGTGGTGCGAATCAGAAAGTGACGACTGTGTAGAGCCAGCATTGCAGCTTCGGGAGCAAAAGCAGTTGGATCCTCCTCGGCACGAGTTGACACAGAACGTCTGGAGGTGTCATTGCACTGCCAAACCTGGTAACAGTCAGGTCCGTTGAGTGTAAAGCCTTATCGATCACACCGCGTTACAGAAGCTGCTGGAATTGTGCACAAGCCACAGCAAGAAATCGGTTCCTGCGTGTCGGAACGCCTTCAAGGGTCGCAATAGCCACAGCCGGCCACAGCATACAAGTTTTCGCAGCTTGCCGCGGCGACAGGTGGATGGCGTTCCAGAACGCAGGGTCTCACTCAGCTCCACAGCCAGCCCATCCTCGAACAAAGGGACTCTATATAGGATATATAGGGCTGTCTAGGCAGTCCTCGCTGTTCCCAGCAACTCAAACCCAACCTCCATAGTTTGCCCCGGTTCCGGGCCAAGCCCTGCCGGTCCGCGCCTGTGTGGACTCGCGGCGCGAGAAAAACGTGAGACTGAGAAGGGACATCGTGCGCAGTGGCAGCGGAAGCTGTCAAAGTACGACGAATCCTCATACGCAAGCTGCCTGCTTCTGGCCCGACTGCAAGGCTTATCCTCCGAACCCAGTCCTCAGATGTTCCCGAATCAACACCAAAGCTTCGTGTACTGAGACGGGGTGCCAACATGCCAACATATGCCAACCAAAGCAGTGACCTTGAGCATGTGAAGCTTGGAAGGCAGAAGATCTAACACAGCAATTGGCGCCCCACTGACCCATGACAATGTGACACGCAACTCTACGTAATTATGCACAGAACCGTGAAGCTCTTGACGCGGCTCAAGCTCTTTGGCTTTCAGACTTTCAAGCATCCGTGTGCTTGTCCCCGTGCAGGCTTCGACGGGGCCTGAAGCCTGCCGAAAATTTCTGGGCCGACAATGCATCTCTCCTGGACAACCGTGCATGTTGTGCAGGTTTGGAGAAGGAAGTGCAGCGCAAGGTTTCAGATGCGCGGTCCAATTGCCAACATGTTGGACCGCGGCGTGTACTGACACCGCAAATATGCGTGATGTTGCAGGGCGGCTCTTCGTACGAGCAGTGCAGGCGGGAGCAAGTCGAGCCAGGACCCAGAGCAGTCCCATAGCCGTGCAAGGAAGCACCTGCGGCCGAGTGAAACTTGGACGGCATGTCCAAAAGACACAAGTTCATTCCCGATCATCAGCTCGAGGGCAGTCGGCCAAAGTGCTGGATCACGGGCTGGACAAGATCGTCTATACCACTTTGTCCAGCCTGAAGAGGATCTTCGGTGCGATGATCTTGCAGAAGTCCGCCCTCGCGCGGTTTTTTCTGGAAGCGGGCGAGGGCGGAGTTCTGCAAGATCCACAGTTCCAAGCCTCAGTGGCAGCTGCTCGCGGCTCGCGAGCTTTGCTCGGAAGACCTCGATGGGCTGCTCATGCCCGACGTATGCAAGCAGCAGTCAGGCAAAGTGCTGGACCACAGACGAGGACATGAGCGAGAAGATTAAGACTTAAGAATGATAAGAATGCCGACATCCCAGACAACGTGGATGCCACGTACATGAAAGCAGAAGATGAGACGTGCACGTGCTGGCGAGCAAGTCCAAGTTCAGGTCGACAGCTGTCAAGTAAGACAGCAGGTTATGACAATGCTTTCAACTTGTCCCGGTAAGATCGAAACCTGCAACCTGAACGGGAACTGAAAGCCATGGTCCGCCTCGAAGGGGTCGACCCTGAGGTCTTCCCAGCGCTGCCGAGTGCAGAGAACCATTGTGCCCAAGATCCACACCCAGTTTGCAGGCCCCACTACCTTATCTACGTCGTGCCGCACCTTTTGGCACTCTGCCTACGGAATGACGACGAGCAGCCACTCGAAATCCTGAGAGCCAACTTGCCAAAAGGGAAAGAACAAGTTTTGACGACCGAGTTCGAAGTCCGCCTGGCAAGGCACCCCAAACAGTGCATGATCGCGCCGAAGATCTTGGTTGATGAGGTCCGGATCAACGAAAAGACCATGAACGGTCGCTTGGAGCTTCGACAACATGGGCGTCACATGCATGATGTCAGACTACGGCCAGGTTTTAAGTTGTGGGACAGGTCAAGGAACAATCTGCGCAACGGTTGGCGGCGATTTCATCCCTACACAACGGTCACAGGAACCGAGTCACTGCAGCAGCTGTGCCAGGCGGGAGCTCCGGCTGACCTTCCAGAAGAGTTTCATGTCGCCGTCACCATGTATGAACAGCACAACCATGGAGCATATACTGCAGCCAAGCAGAGGTCGTACCTCAGACTCGTCACAGGAGTGCCCCCTACCTGATTGACGGCACGGTTCAGTGAGACATGGTATCGCAGCAGCAGGACTTCCGGTTAGCACGAAGCGAGCATCCAGTGTGGCAGGCACAACTGTTTCACCTTGCGTGGCATGCGACCAAGACATGCCATTTCGGACGTGTGTGTTTTACCTTGCTTGCTGCGGAAGTCTCGCTGTCAGTTTGCATCGTGGTCACACGCCTCGCAAAAGAGTCCTTGGCAGCCTTGGTCCGCATGATGGCATTCACTTGGCCATGCGACAGCTCCCGGAGTCAAAACATGCTTTCGCCCGGGGACGGAGCCTCAGCGTTGGCCGTGCCAGGGACGGCGGGGAGAGCTTTCAATTGAGTAGCTGAGTAGCTTGAATTGAATTCTCAGTTTAGGCCATGCGAGCCAAGAGCCTCGTCTTCTTCTCCGAGTGTGAGAGCGCAAGACCCGTGTACCCAAGCAGTCCCTTTCCGAGCCATGTCGGCGGCCATCCCGGCCGGCGCTTCCCTCCGGGAGCTGAGGCCGGGTGGGGCCTTGTTCTGGACATTAAGATATGTAGAATGTAGGCTATGTAGACCATTTCAGACATCATGATGCTATATGATTGGCATGGTGAAACCATCGGCGTACCTCGAGGCTGCAGTTTACAACATGCAGCAGGAAAAAGAGCCAACGTTAGCAAAGGAAACGGGGGGGCCGTCAGCGTTACTCTGGCAAGTCCACTGCATCAGATTATTTTATCGGCTTTCGCAGCTGTTGTGGCTTGGCCTTCGGTTGTTGGGAAGGTTGGAGGGTTGTCAGGATTCATGAGTTAAAATCAGGGCTTGATGCTCGACGGTGAAAGTTCGCGTTCGGGGGCTCCAGCATCACTAAAGGCACCTAGGCTTACCTGATGCTCGCAGTTGCAGAATGAAGGCATGCCGGCAACATCACCTTCGCAGCCACAATCGCTCCAGGCCAGCAGCGACACGCCAATTGCTGCTAAACGGCAGGCATCCGGCAATTGTACGTAGTCCCATTCTGATATTCTACCCACCATTTCTGTTTAGTTTGCACCGTCTTCTTCGCATAATGATTTCTTTCCGCCAATGCAAGTTTCTCATGAGGCAGACCTCAGAGGCGTCGAGAGGCCGGCGCTGCATGCCTCCCCACTCCTGGCGCAGCCTTACATGCGTATTTATGTATGTATGTATGTATATATAAATAAACATACGTACATGCGCGCTAAGTTTGTATAGCAACCTCTCGATATTCAGTCGAGTGCAGCGCAAGTGCCGACCCTCACCTGCTCTTACGGCCTGATTTCAGAGCGCTGAGCCGAGAATCGCTGGCCAAGCTTGTTGCCGAGACTCAAGTTGCAGGCTATAAGACGATCATGAGCATAAATCGTTAAAAGTTTGTACCTTTCGAGCCTCAGGTCAGGTGAGTTTCGCTGATCTAGACTTCCATTACCGCCTCAGCATGTCGGAGCACCAAGTCCAGCCAGATTGGCTGCTTTGCGTTACCAAAGCGATTGTGCCAATCAGTGCGAAACATCCAGAAAGATGTGCTGACGTGCCGGCTAACAGCCCATGGAAGCAGCTCTTCCTGGATATGTCACAAAATTTGCGCCGATACTGGACAAGCTGGAGGACGCCTTGCTCTCCCGGTGGGTCACGCATTTCTTCTTGCCGGTATGCTTCCTCATTATTAGCTATGTTTTTGTTTGCCGTATTGACTGTTTTCATCAGCCCTAAGGGTCAACTGTCCAGGCGACATGTCCTGCGGAGGCATGAAGTGCTGTGGACACGTACTGGACACGCTTGCCGGGTGATCCACGACTTCTTGCCATTCATGCTGTCAGTGTGGCTTCGCAGGAAGATGCCATGGTGGCCGTTGTTACCATGACTGGCTCCTGCTGTCCCATCACGACTGCCCACTGCAATGCGTTGCCTTGGCTGCAGCTTGGGTACAGGGGTGGCGGTAGAGCAACATTCCCTTAATTCAGCATCTCGCAAGGTGCCGGCAAACGACAGAGCAAGATCCGTAAAGAAGTCAGAGGAGTTTCAGCACGATGACCCTTGAAACAAGAACAAACGAGTTCTCTGAGAGCGGTCGGTGTTGCAATTTCAGCTGAGGTTCGACACCGCCCGGAATTCCCTTCTGTGTGTGGAGGTGCCACTGGGGGACGTGGGTCATCCGCGAAACTTGTCCCAAAACACAAGCCCAGTGGCTAGCCGAAGCATATCTCCGGCAACACCCATGTGAACTCGGTACAAGGCCTGCTTTAAGTCGGTCGCCACCACGAACTGCGAGACGTAATCCGAAAACCAAAATTCATCATGCACACCAGTCAACCCAAACACCCACATCGCGGGCTTAAACCCAACTGCGCCTCTCTTCTGCTTGGCACCTCGAGATCGTGCGGTGCCTGACGCCGAAGCAGGAGCACACCAAATTGGCCAAATCCAAGATCCATTTTGGATTTCCCAGTTCCTGGTATGCTGTACCGTTGCTTGAAGGCAGGATCCCTCACAACCAGAGCCATGCGGGCATGTCAGGGCTATCCGCAGCAGCCGAAGCTGGAGAAGTTCAGCGAGGTGCTGGCATTACTTTCCCTGAGTCACGGCCACAATTTCGAGCTTCTATGTTTTCGTGTCAGGTACGGGTACAGTACTAGGATGTCCTCGAGTGCCACTGCAAAAGTCTTGTGATGCGTTAACTCTGTGTCGTTCGTTGTTGGAGCTGTTTGTAATGGTGGGATGGGTGATGGGGAAAGGGGGTGAACATCGCTTTTGTGTTCTTGTGACGCAAGTCTCGTTTGGTATTTGCTGACACATGGCCCTGGTCTTGATGGCTTTTAATGTTGCAGTGTGTCCTCAGTGGATTAACTCCCGTGTGCCCGTGGAAGCTGGCGTGTGGTCGGTTTGAGTTTGCAGCAACCAGCGCACATTGACGCTTGTGGCTTGGGACGCAGCGTCCCAAGCAGACTTCGCACGCCTTGTCAATATGCCAACAACAGCCAGCTTTGTAATAATTTCTGACTACTCCCATCTTTTCGAACTTTGCGATGGCTCCGAATTTGTTTCGTTTGGCGTAGAAGATCGTAGAAGCACTGGCGACATTCACGAGCTCTGCTTGAGACTATGGCACGTGCCCTGCTTTGCCCTTTATGCGTGGTGCTGGCGTTGCATAGCCAATACCATGGTGCTGAGCTTGTGGCTCGCAAGGAACAGCGACAGGCACGTGGACGAAAAGATGTTGCGCCAAAACGAGACCTCGGTTTCCTACGCGGATCGTGCAGCTCTCGTCAGGCTTGCGACTTTGCTGCAGGATGGCAGCTACAAGCGCCAACACTAGATCATTCCAGCATATAAGAGATCCCAGATTGTATACAAGGTCAACAGAAAGTCCATGCTGTAGACTCTAGACATTTCCATATGGATTGCTTCAATCAGGCATCCGCCGAAGTGCCCTGGATGGATTTCAATCCTGGCAGAGAGGCTCATGCCTCTCGGCGAACAGAGAGCCTTTGAAACACTTCGAAGGTCTAGAAGAGAGGCTTGGGTCGGTAACCGATCAGTGTCGCTGCAGTGGCATGAGCAGGTCATGTGTGGATCCGCGACCACATAGCAGATGTGCTGCACTTGCTTGCAGCCACGAGCAGGTCATTGGTCGCCTCCAAGCCGTTTGGCCCCACCTGCAGTTTGTGAGGCCGCTGCAAACACCGTTAGGGACCGGATTCTCTCTGTTAAGTTGTTCGGCACAAGGTGAGGAATCGGACCTAGTAGCGTTGTCAAGTCTGGAGACCTTTCAAAAGCTGCTGCAAACCCAATTGGCAGCTTGTCTTGCATCCCTTGTGGGCTGACTTGGTGCAGGTTTCTTTTAAACGGCGCCGACGATGTCGTCAAGTACCAGAAGTGGCTCGATGGTTAACATGGAGATTTCACTAGACGATAGCAGCTATAGCATCTCGAGGAATTCTGTGCTTTGACCGACTCACGAACCCTCCACGTCGACCCGCAACGGTTTCCGCAGAGTTCACATCGTGTTGAGGTGGCAGCTGGCGAGTCCCGAAAAACGGTACATCACCATCGGCCGCCCGGGCTTCACGGAGAAGGCGAGCAGAGAAGACCAGGGGGATGGCAAGACAGCTGCCAACTTCCCCGGCTCCAATATTACATAGATGTTGATCTAGACAAGTGGATGATAGTGGATGGATGGACGGATGGAGAGAGAGCGACGGGGTGCAGCAGTACGCTGTAGCCTGAGAATGTCTGAGATGAAAGCAACGATCTTACCATCGTCTTGTTTGTTTTGTGCTCCGGTGAAGGTCGAGCATGGAGCTCGTCGTGATGGCGTGGCCCTGGATCAAGGTAGCCCGCCTCAATGCCGCCTAGGGATCCCTTGGCACCAGAGCTCCGAGCTTCCAGCCCACATGCCACAAGTAAGGCAGTGTACTTATGACTCTGAGAGTTCATGAGCTCAGCAATGAGAGCTGGAAAGGTTTCTTCATACTGGTCCTTGGGGGATCGGAGGCCGGTCGTCGGGTCGGAGTACGAAGCCCTCTAAAGGTTGTGCCGACCCAGCCAAGCTTGTTGAAGGTGTCCGACGTGAGTTCGACCCTTGTCCGAGACCTCCTCCGGAAAGGGGATCGTAACTTGGCTGATAATGAGGGTGGCTGGCCACACAAAGTCTCGCGACGAGCTGTCGACAGATGTCGGAAGCCGTTTGGTTCCTTTACACAGAGGATCATATACAAATTGAAAACATGGGCTGCTTTTGGATTGGCGGGCCCTGGGCTTGATTGAATTGGCCATCGGCGAAGAGCCGGAAGCATCAGCAAGCAAGGTCAAGGCCTTGATCGCCTTCTGCATCCCGATGCTACCGAGATGCATTGCGTTTGGACTGTATGCACTGCAGAGGCTGCTAGAGGCTTACAGCAACGTAGTCGCAAGAGTGCGGCAAAGCGCCAAGGTTTCAGATTGGCTCCTCCGGAGTGGGATTTACGGTCCCTCTGTGATGCCCAGCTGAAAAAGCCGGAACTGTGAAGCCGCGATGTGCAAGAGATTGCAGGAGCTTGTTAGGTAGGAATCGACCGCCATTTGCAAAGAACAACCGGCTCATGATTCTTTTTGTTAAGCAGCTATACAGAGTGGATCTTCGACATTCGCTTTTCTCAGATTTCCTCCCGAGCTGCGAATCCTCATTCCCCACACTTCTCGCTTGCTGCATTTTCGTCAGACCGGTTTATGTCTTTTTTATGCACTAGTCGGATGCAGAAGTTGCCTGCAGCATGGTCCGGCGGCTTCGGGGCGCGGTGCTCCTGGAGCCCTGCTTCGACGTGGCTGCTCTTCGCTTCTCAGCTTTCATGTCTCAGTCGCGGGCCTTTCAGCAGCCAGAAACCTGAAAAGTGAGACGCCGGTGCTTGAGGCTGCAGCATACAATGCAGTGCGACTTGGAGAAGCCTCTGGCAGAGACACCATCGGTGACCTTGCCCAATGGTTGGAGGCGCGGAGAGCAGTGAAGCTGGTGCTGTCACTTCAAGGCTTTCGCTGGAAAGCCACAGGCACCTCCACAGAAAATGGGATAAAGGTCCGGGAGTCCAGTACCTGCTGCATGCTGGATACGACTTGTCTTCCTACTCGACCAGCCTTTAAGCGCGCTGCTGCACTGTGTGGTTCTAATCTTGCTGAGTCTGCAACGGTCTCAAAAACTAGGGGTGAGTTGGGCTGGCAGGTTGGCTGTTCTGTTTTCATGTTCTCCAGGATCAGGGCGGCTCCGTCGGCGGCCTTGCCGTGGCCGACGTCCCGGGCCGTGGCCGCGGTCTCCTCGCCGCAACGAAGCTGGCGCCTAGGGCCGTGACTTCAAAAGGGTCGGGCTAGTTGAAATTTTGGAAGAACTTGGGACGAAGAAGGACAGACATGAGATCTCGTTATTATTTGCGGAATGGTCCAGGAGAGGAGCTTTAGCAGACGGATGTCAGGTGCCGAACCGACGGCTGATCTCTGTGCCATCTCAGTGTGTGCTGTATGAGCGTGCCTGGGCAGAAGCAAGAAAAAAGTGATGAGTCCAGCAGACACGACGGGTCAATGGGGGTTAGGTTCAGGGGTTTAGGGGCTTCGGGGGGGGGGGGGGTAAAGTGCAGGGA